TTTTTTTTTTTTTTTTTTTTTTTTTTTTTTTTTTTTTTTTTTTTTTTTTTTTTTTTTTTTTTTTTTTTTTTTTTTTTTTTTTTTTTTTTTTTTTGCATATATCACTGGCCAACTAACCTGGTTTAAAAAATTTGTAGGATAATTCATATCTAAGAAACTAGCTACTTTCTATTGGATCTATGATATCTATAGATATAATGCTTACTCCCTTTACCTACTGCGCCAAATCCATAATGCTTTGCATAATGGTCAACAGAGATCAATGCTTTCAAAGCTATTTAGAAAGAGAATAAAGCCTACTGAGGCCCACAGATTAGTCAGTCCATAACCCAGTCACCTGTTATAAGATATGCACCATCTACTGAGAAGACGCAGTCCCACACCCAGCGTTGGTGTCCTGAAAAGCACATGGGATTGCAAAATTAAGCACTAAACTTGCTTCTCAATAACTTCCTTTGAGACCCAGTATAATAATAATTGAATAGAAATAACCATGTCTTTAACAAAAATAACACTATATAAATGAGAGGTAGATACCTATAAGTGTCTTTTCTAACGTGAAACCGTCCACGTTCCAGATTTTGACAGTGCTGTCAGAAGATGCAGTGGCAAGGTATCTAAAAGATGTGATGCCATGAGAATGTTATAATTTGCAGAAGTAAACAAGCCGCAATGATCAATTATCAAACATCTATAGTCGAGTAAGAAATAAAAGAAAAGAGAATGTATTAGAGTTCTGAGGAATACCGGTGGGGTTCACAGAATTCAGGTGAAAGGAGACACTTGAGAATGTATCCCTTGTGTGCTTGAAGTTTATGAAGTGGCTCAAAGTTTGTCATCGTCTGAAAGAGAAAAAGGTATTACATTATTTCAATTGTACAGCAGAACAACAATTAGCATTTTGCATTTAGGAATAACCTGGGTGCCACGTAATAAGCGCCAAACATAACATGTGCCATGATTATTTGCTGCAACTACCAAGCTTCCATCCCACATAACCGTCAAAGATCTTACAGCCGTATCCACTTCTGGCACCTGGAATCAAACTAGACTATGGGGATGTATACATGATTATCCATATCATTAACTTTTGTTCTTTTTTTGCAGTAAGTAAGAATCCCATTTAGGAGATTACAAATAGATTATTAGGCAATTTTTGTTCTGCTTTTGCAGTAAGTAAGAACTCCCATTTAAGAGATCACAAATAGATTAAATTGTAAGTTAAGGTCCTTGAACCTTTTGGTTTGAATCTAATGGATTCCTGAACTTTCATATATGTATTTAATAAATCCTTGATTTTTTCCTAATAGGTTTTTGAACTTTTAAATTTGTGTTTAATAGGACCTTGGACTCCCACTTTATGGGATGTTCTAGCCTATTTGACATTTCAAAAATTTCATGGGCCTATTAGATACAATTCTTAGGAGAACCAAGTCACCTTGAAACACGTCACATTAGTATCCTCAAAACCCAGTATCTACCACTTGAAGACTAACACCTAGAAGAAGTATTACCATAGAACTACTCTTACGAGAATCTTTGATTTTTGAACCTCTTGTATCTCAAAAGCTTCGGACAACCTAAAAAATTTCCTTCCATAGTTTAACAATCTTAACTAAAACTAATCCTTTTCACTTCATTTTCTTTTTATTTTCCCAATCACTCGAGATTGGACTCCAAAGAAGAATGAAGAATTGACCCAGAACTTCTCTAAGCGCCCCAACTGATTCCTTCATAAGTTGTTTTCCCCCTCTAATCCTTTAGATGACGGTTTTCCTTATCTGCAGAAAAAACTTCCAAAAGATCTGAAGGATTCTGATGCCTCAATTTCTTGCTTTCCTCATTATTACGAAGAAACATTGTAGTTATTCCCCATAAATATTCTTACCAAAAAAAAAAAAAAAAAAAAAAA